AGTTGGATAACAGAAGACATTATAGGAATGCCTATGATAAAGACAAGCTTACAGTAAATTTGAATAAGGCAAAATTTAGTATTCATTCTGAAGCCTCTTCAGTTAAGCTCAAAGGTATGTTGAACACCAAAATAATAATCCAAGCAAAGAACATTATAATAGCTATATTTTGCATAAATCTTGCTATTAAAAAACAAAAATTAAATATCATAGCAAAGATGTTTATGTGACATCTTTGTTACATCTCGATGTACATTACATACTTTGTTACATATCAATGAACTGCAAAACAGAGAACAGATTGTAAATATCAGTAATATCTGTAATTATTCAATGCAATTTTGAAATCTAGTTAAAAAAACTTCATTCATTTGATATAATTTGTAGTTGTTAAAGTAAATCTTACTATGAATCAGTTCTAAAACTTCAAAAATTATACTGAAGATTATAGCTACTATATCCCCTTAACAGAAATGTTAAACAAATATGACAAAAAACGTTAAATAAATATGACAAAACTGTGTGTTCCACACCTGGTTCTACTAAAAGTTTTAACTGAAGCAGATAAAATATACAGCTGTATGTAATTCATACTAAGTCATTTAAACAGATCGATACCTTACTATTTATTTTATTCTGTGATTTTTTAAAAGAAAAACAGTATGTTTCACATAAAGCTTTTATGTACATTTTTAATGGCAAGCTAGACAAGAAAGCTGCTAAATAATTCACAGGTACAACACGATGGAATCACTGAATTAGAAGTAATCTGAAAGTTTCATGTCTTTAGTTTGTCAAATCTCAGTGACAGAGTTATATAAAAATATAGAGCACAACAAACTGTCAACAGATACCCTACAAGTTCTTTATGGCAAACAGTTAGAACTCTTGGTCGTTCTGAAGCCTAAACCCACTTTAGATCACCTCTGAAACTGATGTTTACATTAGTACATGCTAAAAAAACCAACACACAACTCTCTATACTGTAATACCTCTACAGAGTAAATATGGTATTTTTGACAGGGAAAAAACCCCTAAGTATAAAAGGAAGTAAGCTCTCTTATCTTACATTTCCAACTGTGTAACATTCAGTTCAGCAATAATGTGTTCCAGTATTCCAGAGTAAGAGAAATGAATACTGAACTCAAGGCATCCATTCAGAATGATTTTCATCTAATAGTTAAAAATCAGTGTTAGTAAAACAGTGTAAATAGGTATATGTTACTCAAAAGCTATAGTGGGTGGAGAAGTAAGTTCAGAGAGCAATGTCTGAAGCTATGCTTAACAATTCAAGGGTTTCTACAATTCTGGAGCCCCTGATCAGCATCTATGATTATGAAGCAGTTATAAGTTTAGAACTTACCTGGGAAAGCGAATTCCAAAATGCTCAAAAAGAGTAATTATTGTAACTGTAGAGAAACTCAAATCTGAAATACTGTCAGCTGTAGCAAGATCATTTAGAAACTACTACTTGAAACATCTTCTCCTTTTTTTGGCTACTGATACTGCATGTTATACACACAGCATTACTTTCCAGGTGGTTTCCAAACCTCTATAGACCCCAGATTCAATACTATTCTGTTGAAGAAAAGATAGTCGTACAAAGACCATGACAGACATGTCAAGACAGAACACATACTGAATAGGTCAAAAGTGGAATGGAGGGAATATAGCTCTTAATCATCTGTTACTACACGCGTTTCTCACTTTGCTTTTCTTCATCCCCTGTAAGAGGGATACAAGTAAGTCATAGCTTGTAAAAAAACAGTCTGGATGTAAAGCATGGGAGAAAAGTTTCCTTACCATGTCAGTAAGTGATTGCATAGCTTTGTATTTGTTGTGGTATATTGTAACACAAGATACGGGCCTTCAGCTCTTATAGCAATGTTATCATAACTCAGGTATTATAAGAAGTAATTTCTCTCCACCTCATATTTTTAAATGCAAACGTTCTAAGCCTGATAGTATGAAGCACTTTTACTTTACAAATAAACTCTTACCTTATGGTAACCCTTCTCTACCATCCACCCTGAACAAGCACAATCAGTTATGCCATAGTTTTTAACACTCCTGTCTAAATGAAAATGCTGATGCTTTTAAGTCTGTACACAAACAATTCAGTTAAACAAGCATCTTTATGGTGCTGAGCCAGAAATAATTCACCTTTGTCCTTATAATAAAAAGACCCCACTCTCAGTATTTTTTTTACACCATTTAAGGGAAACATGCAAGAAGGTGTCACTTCTGCAGACGCTTTTCAGCACTGAATCTGAGTTTATGAAATTATACCCACAGTAGGATTTTGGATGCTGAAGCACAAACATGTATAAATCTGCAGAAACATCACAGTATTTTATAACTTGATGACTTCATGACAGTATGTTATATAAGGTGAACTCCTTTTACCGGGTGGTTGTCTAGTAAAACATCATAGTATACAACTACTGAAGGACAGTACCATTTCAGACACTGTGAAGAACCAGAACTTGACTCTGTGGTGGAAACAGCAGTGCACGTGGTCATTTGAATCCCTCTCTTATACTGATATCTCACTTGGTTACACAATTACTTCTCCAGCACTAGTTTCTAGGATGGAGACTGCAATGGACACCGTACACCTTAGCTCTGCTCCAAGACACTACCGGGTAAAGGAAGAAACGCTTTTCGCTATGAAGGAATGCAGAAAGCCTTACTTCCAGTCCACCTACTCCTCTCACTGCTGGAGCAAAGACAGTGCATATAGCATCAGATCAAATATTCTGGGCTAGTGCTGAGTGACAGGGACACAAGAACAAGAGTGGGCCAAGAACAAGGTACAAGACTGGCAGTACAGATCCAGTGGCAACAGTGGCAATTAATGCCACTTTAATATTACTTTAGGAGCTGAGTACACTCAAAGTGCTGATATCTAGCAAGGTTGCACAGTGCTATAGCACAAGCCTTACATAAAGGCAACTTTAATTACACTGCAGGCACAGTATTGTAAAAAGTAATAGCAATAAGCTGACCAGTTAAAAAAAGTTCACCATTTCTTGTTTAGCTGCACTATTCCTAGCTACTTATAACTTAAATGAAACCTCAAATTCATTGTATTGCTTTAATTAGCATATTGAAATTTGGATTAAACCTGTTAAGAACTGTATAAAGAATTAAGGCAGTAACAGAAAAACAATCTTAAAAATGTCTCTATGTAGTGTGACTTCTTTTTGTTTATCTACTACAGTATCATCTGCAGTATCATTAAAAACAAAACAGTTACTGTTAGATTTATTGCTATTACAATACTGTGATATGACTGAGGTTGTACTTCCATAGCATGCTACAGTCTGGACTGGTCCTTATGCTGTAGTGTACCACAATCTCACTTCTGCCAGCACTATTTCTGGGGCCAGTAAATCGCACATGCAGGATCACCTAGGTTAAAATTAGTTTTCCTTCAGTTCTCTTCCAGGGTTCACTGCTATTTTTTCCTGGTGTAATAAACTAATTCACAGTGAAGAACTACAACATGCTTTGCTAGCGCAAGGATGACATCAATTTACTGCTGCATGAGTCTGGGAGACTGACAATTCCTCAAACTTCTTTATGGCCAAAAACCCAATACTGTGGATGTCTAGCCTGATTTGTTAATAGTATCAAAAAGCAAGTATCTGGAGAAGCTGAAAGCACTTCAGTATCATGAGCTTCGTCAGATGGTAACGCTAACTTTATAACCAATTACTCCACAGTAGATGTTTCTTTCCTTGCAAGTTACGCAGGTATTAGATTCCAGTCATAGAAGCCAAAAATACAGTCCACTGCTTCTTCCATGCTTAGAGAAGAAATGCATGTAGCCTGAAAGTTGCTGCAGTTCAAATGCAAGGGGGGGGGGAAAGAAGGCAGAAATGAGTATCCAATTCTCAAAGTTTCAGTAATAATTTCCAAGTATGGAGGAAACAAGGAGGACAGTTATTTTGGGCTTTCTGCATTAGTGCTTGCAAACCTAATCCACTTCAGCTCAATTCTGTCCAACTTTTAACTGAAGTTTCATAGAAACTTTCAGAAAAAGATAGCTTTTCTTAAGATTTTATTCTAATTTTAATCCCTGAGTCAGCTATGAATAAAACTTCAAAGTTCCTTGAAGTTATTTTTAAAATTTTGTTCATATTTTGTGTTTATTGCTTTTAGGCCAACATATTTTGCAGGAAATCATGCTTTTTGTATTTTATCAGTCCTCCTAAGAATGTTCTTAATAAAATTAATGCTTCCGCTGCAATGAGGATAATGTCAACCTTTCCCAAAATAATGAATAAACTGCAAGTTATTGTCCTATTACAGTATGCCTTTGTATCTCAGCACACCATCCTACCCAAGTTCAATCTGATGTCAGCAGTAACACATGGGTTAAAGTTCTAAACTTAAATTTCCTCTTTTTTTTTCAACAGAGCTGGAAAATAGGACTGCATCTGTTTTAACTGAGATCATTCTGTGGTCCCCATATGCACTCCCAATCAAGCCAGCAGAAAGCCTGTATAGCACATTTAGTTTGTTTTTATTATTATTTTTGCTGATAAAACATATTTTTTGTCCTCTTGTTAAAAAAAATAACACAGGATGTTTCTGGAACTGAATCCATGAAAATATTCCTTGATCACATGCATGCAACCACCTGCTCCCATCTTATCAGCTCTTCCTCCACTCCTGGTAGCAAACATCTGAGCAGTCAGAAGGATGGACTACTCTCCCATTTCCCCAGTAAGTATACACCTGGGGGTAAGAAGGTTAGGAAGGGATTGTGTTTGGTTGATGAAGGAGAAGTGTTCACAGACAGGCTGGTGCATTATACTCACCTGGGGGATGAAGGGCTGGCTTGTTCCTGTCTTGGAGAAGATACCTACCTTACCTGGCTGTAGGTGGTGAAGATGCTTGTGGCAAGAAAGCACCTGGGGCAGTCAGCGCCCCTTCTCTGTGGGCAGGACTGCGCCCCCTCCTGCCTCTTGCTTAGTGTGAGGGATACTTACCCATCGGGGATAGTGTTCTTCTTTACCATGCTGAAAGCAGGAGAAGGCAGAGCAGGAGACAGCGGTGAAAGTGGGCACTGCAGCAAAGGAGAGAGAACCGCGCAGTTAACACGGTGCTAATCTCTTTCTGCATCAGTGGGCCTTTTCACAGGGCTGACTCTCAAGTAAAACAAACCAAGCAGTCAGCTGGGGCTTGAAGCCATCCTGAGCAAGTTCTGCAGCTTGCAAGCTAGCCTATTTTCTCCACTGCTACAGTACAACAAGAGGGAAAGACAACAACTCACCTCTCCTCTCCAGGAGGTCAAAAGAAACAGAGAGGAGAGGCAGGAGGTTTCTCTCTAACTCTAGCAGCAGCACTGCAGGGATGAAGATCTTCCTGGCAGTCCCTTCTGTCCCTCTCCTGTGACTCGGAGCACTCTGTTCTGCTCTTGCGCTCCCGCAGCTAGAACTCGTCTCAACGAGAAGAAACTCCTGGCAGCTGCAAGAGGCGAGGCCGGCACCTCAGCAAGGGAAGGACCATCACCTGCCCCACTCTAACCTAGACGGGTCCGA